TAATTTGGTTCCCATTATGGTCCCCTTCTACGACCAACCCACTATTTTGGCAAGCACGACGATTTTCACGGTTTCTAGTATGGAATCGAATTCCATTGTAGATGCACCCAGAATAAAAGTCAATTACCGATCCAGGACCATTTGCTAATGACCACAATTCGTCAGTTGCTTCAGGTGACCCTTTTGTTCGCAAGTCATTCATCTACATAAAACACCATATAACAAGTGTACTAAGTTAATGTGAATTGAAAGTTTCAACAATTGTATTCAGTTATTTTCTTTAGTATATCTTACACGATTTTTGAACCATTTTGGAAATTCTTCTCGTTGTACCCAAGTTATGTCACATCCTTGTAGATTATGTAAAATATTCTTCTGCTCCCTACCCAAGGAAATGTGATATACATAATTAACTTTGAGAGTTCGAAACAAAATGGAATGATTATGCATAAACGTAATTAAACTTAAATACATACTCAATAAATGGCTCCACCTCAGAGCTATTGTACAACACAAACTAGTGAGCCATTTCTCGTTCATTTTGCGAAGGGTCAAGAGCCCTTGTGATAGGTGAGAATAGACGAGCATTTTGGGTGAAGACCTCCATCTCGGGACCACGTTCACCACCATCATCATTTCGTTCAGGTTTATCAATCCCTTTTAAGTACATTGAACAAAAAGTAAGACACTCTTTGACAATGTAAGCCTCAGCGATAGAACCTTCTGGACGTGCTCTATTGCTGACATACCCTTTCAAAGTCCCGAGAAACCTTCAACAAAAATTGACAATGAAAATTATACTTCTTGATGCAAGAAAATTACTTCTTAAACATTAGTCTTTTATGGGTGGATTTTTGCACAAGAGTTTAGTTATAACAAATTAATAAATAGCCATATGTTCATAATGATTACCTTTCGATCGGGTACATCCATCGATATTGCACCGGTCCAGCAAACATGACCTCACGGGGCAAGTGAACAGCCAAATAGACCATCACATCAAAGAAAGCTGGAGGAAAAACTTTCTTCAACTTGCAAAGTATGAACACAATTCGTTCCTCCATTTTTTCCAAATCAGTCTGTGTAGACGCGCCCGCGTGAGGCTTTCGTGCTACAGTTCGGACTTAATTTGTGTCACGGTTCTTAATCTGAACCAAAGAGTCCAAATCTAGCAAATCGTTTTGAGAAAACAGATTTTTAGAAAAGAAGTGCTAAACATGGACTGCTTTGCCAGATACAGAGTCGCCACCTAAATATTTTTTAAGGGGGAATTTAGGAACCCTGACTCGGTGCCAAAGGCCACGTGTCCGTCATCACCAAAGTTGCCTCGGCTCGGGTAGGGTACGATTGGGAGGTCAGCTATGAGCACCCCCTCTTGCCCCGATCGAAGATCGCCTCTACTAACCGTGATATCCGTTTTTGAAAACGTTATGTGTTCTTATTCCATTTATTAGCTAGAATTACTATGTTATGTGCACAGCAAACAAGTATAGACTAGATCGTCTAATTTGGAACAAAGTATTGCATATCCGTTTGTTTCGAAAAAACGTTTGAGGTTTGCTACTCGCAAAGTAGGCTAAAATACGGATTTCGACGAGTTGTTCCAACTCAAACAATCCAACCTTCACCCACAGGCATTCAGGCAGTTTATAACACATAAGCATCTAGCCACATGGTAAGCATGCTGTCATGGCAAAACACTCACACTCATGCAAGATGCTAAAGCATAAGAGCTTACCTAGTACTCCGTGCCAAAACAAGAACATGTTAGCAAACATGCATGATCCAAGTTCATGTTAAGATGGGCTAATGCAACACATGCAAAATGCAACTAAGATAGGCTCGGCTAATCTACAAATGACATGTGAAATGCTTACAACTAACATATTCAATTTGGAATTGAAATACAATGCACTTAGAATGATGTGCCAAGCCCGGTGCATGCAAGACAAATGTATGAATGCACGCTGCATAGCATAAGGTATGCTAATTTAAATATGCCCTAGTCTACCATTCATAAGCGGGTAAATAAAAGGGAAGAAAGATGTAGGATTGGAAGACATACACACACGCCCCACACTTATTACACAATTGCCCTCGCTCGGGGTCCGAAAGAATAATATAGTCTGAATAACAAACCAACTATCCTAGCTAATTAATTATTACAGACAACTAAATTAGTTAAGCAAATCAACTAATCTAAGAAAGTGATAAACGGCCTCGGGAAAAGAGCCCAATGCAATGCATGCTCGGTCTTGCTCGGAAGTCCACTGCCATGCGCAAGCTGCCTCTGTTTTCCCTACTATACTCCTCTGAAAACTGCCAAAGTCTCAGGATGTTCTCACTAGATGCTAGGAATGCCACCAGCCAAATTGGATCATCACCGGCTGTGATTTAGTGGTCACCGGTAAATATGAATCCATCAGCCACCGATAGATGGCCGGTCGGCACTCTGTGTAGTCGATCGGCTGAAAATTCCTGCAGGACCTGTTTAACAGCAGCAGAGGGCAAAGCTTTGCATGGCAATGCAATTCAAGCGAATGGTGTGCACTGACACATCCCTTGTCATGTTTTGTGGCTCAAAGGGATACGGCCCTTGGTTCTCGCGACCACCAATCGCGCATTTTCAATGCGTGATGGCCCAAGAGACCAAGGTGTGCATTTTTCATTTCAAATGTCATCAATGCACATTAAACAAACAAATTGAACTCAACCTCTATCACAAGCAATTCAAGAGGCCAAGCATGTATGCTAGTACAATGCAGCCTAAGCATGTGAGGCCTAAGTGTGTAACGTTGGAGATGCAATGCACAATGCTCACTGGCATGCAATCCATGCAAGCTAATCAAGTATGCAATGTGCAACTCAACCATGCAAACATGCAAGTCATACAAATATGCTAACAACTTGACCAAGAGGATGCATACCCAATGCAAGTTGTTTTTAAGCATGCAACACATGCAACCAAAGCATGAACCATGAATAATGTAATGACCATTTGAATGGCATGCAAGGAAGGGGAACTTACACTAATTGGACAACCCTAAACTAGGTCCAAAACAGTAGCCAATGCTTATGGAAATGAGGGCCAACACACACACACACACACACACACATGCACATGCTAATGGGCCAACACTCAAGCATCAAACATGCCAACCTTTAAGCACACTTTAAAAAGTGACAAAAATGGATTAATGGCATTGCACATAAAGCTCTGAAAAACATGTTATTAAAAGGTGCCAAACCATGTAAATAAGGCAAGCCAAACATGCAACAATGGTCCAAGACTTAAGGCAAGCCAAAGGGGAGGTAAACCAAGGCTAGGTCAACCAAGCCTCACAAGGCCAAAGGGACTTAAAATAGGTCTAATGCAGACCTAAACAAAGCTAAGGATGTACTTAGATGGCATCTAAGTGGTCTAAAAATGCAAGCATACTCCAAGGCCTAAACAAGGGGCATAAGGCAACAATCTTTAAACACATTGAAGGGGGATCAAATGCAAGCATATGGGCACATCATGAGGTCTGAAATAACATGTCAAGTGGTTCCAAACCACTGAAACAAAGCAAGGATGGCATGCTAGAAGGGCCAAAGCTTAAGGCATACAAGAGGGATTACATGGTAGCTATACAAAGCAAGGCATGGATGACTCAAATGACTTAAAACAGTCCCTTAGCACATCAAAATATGCATATATGCTTCACAAAGCTTGGCCAAAATACAAAAGCATGGTAGTCTAAATGCTATGCATGTATTGAGGCAAATCATGGCATTACAAGGTATGTATGCTAGACAAGCATGGTGTACCAAAACCAACATACAACAATGCTATGTTATGACATAATGAGCCTAAAAATTAGCCAAGGCATGGTCAATACATACTTAAACTATATGCTCCCTCAAGAGGCTAAAAATGACCCTTTTTCAAGGACAACAAGGAGAGGGGGTGGCCCTCTCCTTCTTGGGACCTCAAGGCACCATCCTCACCTTTGAAATTCCTCAAGATTTCAGTGGTGAGGAGACCCAAACACAATGGTTCCGGAGCTCAACCAAAATGGCACAAAATGGAGCCTTTCAAGGCTTAAGAGGGGTCAAACAACCCCAAAGCTTGAAACACCCTTAAGAAACTACTTAGAGCAAGGAAAAACACAACTTTTATATGTTATACACTAAGCTAAAAAACAGACGCAAGATAGGTAAATAAGCTATGAAAAAATGGGAGAAAAGGGACAAGTTTCTTACCCTTGTAGACCCTCTTCACAAATGGTGGACCAGCAGTCTCCTTAGGTCCAAACCAGCTTCAAAACTTCAAAAACAACCCTCTAGAACCTCAGTTCCAAGAGAATGGTGTAGTAGTGGGTGTTTGTGTGCAATACTAAGGCCTAAAACACACACAAATACACCAAGGAAGAGAGATATAGAGATAGGATATATACAAACCCTAACCCTAGAACTCAAAGCTCTGAAAAATAATGCCTAACTTGTCTAACCCCTCAACAACAGAGAAGAGCCTCTCTTTTGTAGACAAAATGGTCTTGTAAAGCTTCTAAAGGAAGCTAACAAGAGGGCAATCCCTCCATACACGTGTATGGAGGGGGTGAAAGTGTATGCTAGCTGCACAAAAATATCTGCAAAAGCAGATGCACAGTAATCGGCCGGCCAAAAATACAATTGACCAAAAAAAGATAGCCGGCCAGCCATCTATAGTGCCGGTCGGCCAAACATTTGGCCGGTGGAAGCAAAACACAGCCGGTGGCCTCAAGCCATGGCCAGTGATGTGTGGGGATGGCCCACAAGCCATTCTCTGCCCCTCCAAGGCAAAACACAAGTGTTTGGTGCAAAACCAAACACAAAACAGTCGAGTCGAGGGATCCTGAGACAAGGCGCGCATCCGAGACCTCCGGGAACTCAAGACGAACACAAACAAGAATGATCACAGGGTGTTCAAGCGGTGATGTCCAAGTCTTGAGGACGGTCAAAAATGGGGTGTCTACAGTCTACCTTAATGTTTTTGAGCACAGTTCTTGGAAGAAGTTGCCCAACTCAAATAGTGTTGTACAGATCTCCTTGTTCACAAAACCACGCATGCCAATTGGTAGAAGTCGCTGAAGTAGGACATGACAATCATGGCTTTTCATGCTCGATAATCTTTCATTTTTAGAAGTCACACATCTTGAGATGTTTGCTGCATAGCCATCTGGATAACTAATCGACTTCAAGAATTCACAAAAACCATCTATTTGTCGAGAATCCAATGTGTAGGCTGCCTGAGGCTTTACAACGAATCCGTTATCTTTCCTCTGTAGATGCAATTCTTGCCTTATGCCCATTTCTTGCAAATCATCACGTGCTTTGTACGTGTCCTTGTTTTTCCCATCTATGGCCAACATCGTCCTGTAAAAGTTTTCACAAATATTATTCTCAATGTGCATGACATCAAGATTGTGTCGGAGGTTTAATTTCTTCCAATACGGTAGCTCCCACATTATGCTTTTCTTTGTCCAATTCAATTCTTCAGACTCTCGTGGTCTTTTCTTGTTGGTAGGATCCTTTCCAAACTTGACTTCCCGTAATTGATCCAATTGAGCCATTACTTTTTCGACCGGTAAATCCGAGGATTTCTTTCTAAGCTCAGTTAAACCATTAAACTTCTTGTCTTTCCTCCAAAGGTGGTTATCAGGCAAGTAAGCTCGATGACCCACCCACCCAATCTTGCTAATCAACCCGTGTGACAATGGATTATCATTACAAGGAGGGCAAGACAAATAACCTTTAGTTCTCCATCCGGATAAGTCACCATATGCAGGGAAGTCATTTATGGTCCACATTACAGCTGCATGCATCCGGAAGGTCTGTTCAATGGAGGCATCGTAAGTCATCACACTATTCTCCCACAACTCCTTCAACTCATCAATCAATGGCCTTAGGTAGACATCAATATCAGTCCCTGGTTGATTACGTCCAGGAATAAGTAAGGACATCATGAAAAAAGGGCCTTCATACATCTCCAAGGTGGGAGGTTATAGGGCATGAGTATGACAGGCCACATGCTATAGGAAGTGCTCATGTTCCCAAAAGGGTTGAACCCATCGGTGGCTAGGCCCAACCTAACATTCCGAGTGTCCTGGGCAAACTCTGGATAATGCAAATCAAATTCCTTCCACTCTTTACAATCAGCCGGATGCCTCCCTACACCATCATCCACACGCTTATCACTATGCCATCTCATGTCTTTTGCCGTCTTCCTAGACATGTACAATCTTCTCAACCTAGGTGTCAATGGGAAGTAACGCAATATCTTGTGAGGGATCTTCTTACCCTTGCTATCATTTACTCTGTACCTAGATGCTTGACATGTGGGACATTTTTCCAAGTGAGCATTCTCCTTCCAGAATAGTACACAATCATGTTTACATGCATCGATGAGCTCGTACCCCAAGCCCAAGTCACATAGCAACTTCTTGCACTCGTAAATTGACCCTGGCACCACGTGGCCTTCTGGTAAGAATCGCCTTTGTATCTCCAAAACCTTGTCAAAAGACTTATTACTCCACCTATTTTCTACCTTCACATGTAGCATCTGAATAACGAATGATAACAAAGTATCCGAGTTTTTGCAACCTGGGTACAAGCAACATTGGGAAGCATCTAGCAATTTATCAAAATGTCGTACATCCTCTCTTTCTAGAGTATCACCCTCCATAAAATTCCCCCTCTGATAGTCCTCTATCAGTTCATCATATTCATCTTCATCCTCATCATTCTCACCATTGCTTTCATCAAGGTTATTGTGTTCTGGAAGTTCACCGTGTTCTAACCAAGTGGTGTATGATACTATCATCCCACTTATGAGCAAATGAGCCTTCACACTATCATACTCCTGCTTATAAAAGTTACAACAATTGATGCATGGGCACTTAATCTCTCTAGCCTCACCCAAATGAGCCTTTGCAAATTCAATAAATGAGTTCACCCCATCTACATATGGCTGACTGAATCTATCAGAAATTAACATCCAACTCCTGTCCATGTCTGATCATAAGATAGTAGTTAATATCAACAGGACACAACCTTTTATTTTTTATTTTTTATTTTTAATTTATTTATTTATTTATTTATTCTTTAAAAGTTCTTAGAAGAAGTTGCCCAACTCAAATAGTGTTGTACAGATCTCCTTGTTCACAAAACCATGCATGCCAATTGGTAGAAGTCGCTGAAGTAGGACATGACAATCATGGCTTTTCATGCCAGATAATCTTTCATTTTTAGAAGTCACACATCTTGAGATGTTTGCTGCATAGCCATCTGGATAACTAATCGACTTCAAGAATTCACAAAAACCATCTATTTGTCGAGAATCCAATGTGTAGGCTGCCTGAGGCTTTACAACGAATCCGTTATCTTTCCTCTGTAGATGCAATTCTTGCCTTATGCCCATTTCTTGCAAATCATCACGTGCTTTGTACGTGTCCTTGTTTTTCCCATCTATGGCCAACATCGTCCCGTAAAAGTTTTTACAAATATTATTCTCAATGTGCATGACATCAAGATTGTGTCGGAGGTTTAATTTCTTCCAATACGGTAGCTCCCACATTATGCTTTTCTTTGTCTAATTCAATTCTTCAGACTTTCGTGGTCTTTTCTTGTTGGTAGGATCCTTTCCAAACTTGACTTCCTACAATTGATCCAATTGAGCCATTACTTTTTCGACCGGTAAATCCGAGGATTTCCTTTCTAAGCTCAGTTAAACCATCAAACTTCTTGTCTTTCCTCCAAAGGTGGTTATCAGGCAAGTAAGCTCGATGACCCACCCACCCAATCTTGCTAATCAACCCGCGTGACAATGGATTATCATTACAAGGAGGGCAAGACAAATAACCTTTAGTTCTCCATCCGGATAAGTCACCATATGCAGGGAAGTTATTTATGGTCCACATTACAGCTGCATGCATCCGGAAGGTCTGTTCAGTGGAGGCATCGTAAGTCATCACGCCATTCTCCCATAACTCCTTCAACTCATCAATCAATGGCCTTAGGTAGACATCAATATCAGTCCCTAGTTGATTACGTCCAGCAATAAGTAAGGACATCATGAAAAATGGGGCCTTCATACATCTCCAAAGTGGGAGGTTATAGGGCATAAGTATGATAGGCCACATGCTATAGGAAGTGCTCATGTTCCCAAAAGGGTTGAACCCATCGGTGGCTAGGCCCAACCTAACATTGTGAGTCTCCTGGGCAAACTCTGGATAATGCAAATCAAATTCCTTCCACTCTTTACAATCAGCCGGATGCCTCCCTACACCATCATCCATACGCTTATCACTATGCCATCTCATGTCTTTTGCCGTCTTCCTAGACATGTACAATCTTCTCAACCTAGGTGTCAATGGGAAGTAACACAATATCTTGTGAGGGATCTTCTTACCCTTGCTATCATTTACTCTGTACCTAGATGCTTGACATGTGGGACATTTTTCCAAGTGAGCATTCTCCTTCCAGAATAGTACACAATCATGTTTACATGCATTGATGAGCTCGTACCCCAAGCCCAAGTCACGTAGCAACTTCTTGCACTCGTAAATTGACCCTAGCACCACGTGGCCTTCTGGTAGGAATCGCCTTTGTATCTCCAAAACCTTGTCAAAAGACTTATAGCTTCACCTATTTTCTACCTTCACATGTAGCATCTGAATAATGAATGATAACAAAGTATCCGAGTTTTTGCAACCTGGGTACAAGTAACATTGGGAAGCATCTAACAATTTATCAAAATGTCGTACATCCTCTCTTTCTAGAGTATCACCCTCCATAAAATTCCCCCTCTGATAGTCCTCTATCAGTTCATCATATTCATCTTCATCTTCATCATTCTCACCATTGCTTTCATCAAGGTTATTGTGTTCTGGAAGTTCACCATGTTCTAACCAAGTGGTTTATGATACTATCATCCCACTTATGAGCAAATGACCCTTCACACTATCATACTCATGCTTATAAAAGTTACAACAATTGAAATTCCCCCTCTGATAGTCCTCTATCAGTTCATCATATTCATCTTCATCCTCATCATTCTCACCATTGCTTTCATCAAGGTTATTGTGTTCTGGAAGTTCACCGTGTTCTAACCAAGTGGTGTATGATACTATCATCCCACTTATGAGCAAATGAGCCTTCACACTATCATACTCATGCTTATAAGAGTTACAACAATTGATGCATGTGCACTTAATCTCCCTAGCCTCACCCAAATGAACCTTTGCAAATTCAATAAATGAGTTCACCCCATCTACATATGGCTGAATGAATCTATCAGAAATTAACATCCAACTCCTGTTCATGTCTGATCATAAGATAGTAGTTAACATCAATAGGACACAACCTTTTATTTATTTATTTATTTATTCTTTAAACATGAAGACAAAGTAGTTAATATAAGTGTAGAGTGACACATCATCGTCAATAAAGGTGCATCTACCTATAGGCTTTTTTAATTTTGTATCAAGGTTTCGACTAACAATCCTTTAAAATTCTATTATATCTGCATATATTATGTATTAAGTTAAGTGTTTTTTACATTTATCAACAGAAAAACAAGAATATATATATATTTTTAATGTCTGTTAAATGGTAAAAGGCAGTTGGCATGGCAGTGTACCATTCTAATTCATTCCAATATCTTTCTTAAAAGAGTTGGCATGGCAGTGTACCATTCTAATTCATTCCAATATCTTTCTTAAAAGACATTACCTAATGGGCTCCTACAAATTAAGGGCATAGGGAAGGACTAAGGGTGGCTACAGGCCTAACCTCTGTAATATTTGTGGGAAGGGACTACATTTATAATTCCAACCCATATTTTCATACACGGGAACTCAAGCATTTACCACTACACCAATCAATACCCCCTCTTTGATGAAACTTCTATGTTTATCTAAAAGGGATTTTCAGCTCTCCTAAAAAGCCCTAGCACAAATTACATCCAGCCACTACCTCTAAATTTTCTATTAATGAACCAATTGAAAAGTCGGGAACCAAAGTGACACAAACCTCAAACTATAGGGACCGTTAGTATAATTTGCCCAAGATAAAAAGATCAAAAATAAAAAGAGCACTTTTGTAGTACACCCCAAACACTCTCTTAGCTTAAAAACCATCTAAAACCCAACTTAAAAAACTAAGCTATTTAAACTTTTTTGAGCTGAAAAGGAAAATAAGCTGAAAACAAAATAAGTGGAACCAAACACCCTACCATTTTAGGTACAACTACTAAGGCATGTGTTTTCAAAATTTAAACAAAATAAGTTGGAAATAAGTGGAAACCAAACAGCCTTTTTATATACAACTACTAAAGCATGTGTTCTCAAATTTTAAATTAAGTTGGTTGCAAATTTTAACTACTAAAGCATGTGCTTTCAATTACTACATTGTATTTATGCTTTTATATTCACATTCAAACACGTAAAAAATCATAAGTTGGCCCTTAAGCTTTATGGTATAATATCTTACTGCATCCTCTATTTCTAACATTACATTGTCTCCAGAGTGTTCTTATATTGGATGCAATAGACCATTTCCTTTGTGAGACAGAATTTCAACTCCTGAATAGGTGCTTCAGTGAGCAAGGCTACATGAAAGAGAATCCTAGTAAGCTTCAGCATGGAAGTGGGCTACTTAAGGTATGACAAATAAGCCACCTCTATGCCCTGGGGGCAAGGATGAAATGTCAACACTCATAGTAGGGGCAATAACAAGCTCAGAATTGGTGACTTGTATTGGGTTTAAGATGGAACAGATTTTAAAGCCTCTCTTATTCATATGCACCAGTAGAAGTGTTCTTATTTTATTACCTTACATAAATAGTCACTGTGGGTTCTTATTAATATTTGAAGTAAGAGGCCCACTGAGAAGATGAATAAATTCCTGGTGAATGGGCACAGGCATCCTCTCATACAGAGGCAAATCCATGTTCTAACCTAAACGTTTGATGTGGATTCAGGTTAGGTGTTCATTAAAATTTCATATCCTTTCAGTTTTGCATTTCAAAATGATATTGTACTGGACAACCCGTAAAGGCCCCATCTTCCCCAACTCAAGCATGGAATTTGTTTGGAAAAAGCATCATTCAGAGAACCCCAAAATCTAAATAATAGAAGAAGTGAAAATAGACAAACATAGATTCATTCAAGAAATTGAGAGAGAGAAGCAGGGGCATTGAGATACAAAGCAAAAGGGAACAAACCTGTAATGGTAGACTGAAGCACCGATCTTGCACGACAACAGCAAATGACACAAACCCTACGATCAAGAGTGAAATCGTGAGGGAGAGAGAACTACGAATTCTGAGATAAGGATGTGCAAGAGTGAAATCGTGGAGATTGATTTGGGGAGATTTGATGAGGGAAACAAAAAAGGAGGGAATTTTAAGAGGGAAATGTCACCGCCGATCAGCACCTGCTCTACCCCAAAAAAATAAATAAAATAAAATAAAATAAAATATTCAAAACAATTTTTAGATTTGTTTTTTTAAAAAAAATTAAAAATAATTTCAGAGCAATAAAAATCAAAATTATATTTTTAAAATTTTAAAAAGTATTTATGACCTAAAAGATTAAAAAAAAAAACAAAAAAAAATTTATATTTGTTTTTTTTGAAAAAATTAAAAATAATTTGAAAGCAATAAAAATCAAAATCATATTTTTAAAATTTTAAAAAGTATTTATGACCTAAAAAGATAAAAATATACAAAAATAATAAGTTTTTTTTTTTCACCCAATTTTTTTTTTAGTTTTTTAGGGAAAAAAAAAATTTGAAACTAGTTTCTGAAAATAAAAACAAACATATTGAAATTGATAATCTAACCATATTCTTTGAAAAAGTTTAAATTATCTCAAATTAGTCATATCAACTTAAGAGTGTGTTTGGGCTCAATGGGTTCATTTTGTGATCTAATTCAACGATTATTTTAATTTTACAATTCAGTAACTAAAATATTTAAGACTCTTTCAAAAATTATAATAAAAAACACAAATCACTAAATCACATCATTCCACTAGCAAAACTTTTACCGACGAATAGTGTTATCGTCGCTAAATGGTTAACTCTTTTGCCCACACCAACTTGTCGTCGCCAAAAGTAAGCACACTAATAGCAACGCTCATTGTGTTGCTAAAACATAAGCCTTGTAGGTAAAAGTTTTGAAATTTTGGCGCCAACCAAAAAATTTGGCGCTAAAATAATGTTATGCCTTTTTAGCGACGGCAACAAATTGCGTCGGTAAAGGTATACTTTTACCAACAAAATTGATCACTGTGTTGCCAAAAATATACTTTTGGCGATGAAAAATTGACGTCGTCGCCAAAAGTAGTCGCCAAAAGTGCAATTTCTTGTAGTGTCTCTTCAAGAGGTATAAGCTTGTCACCTTTGTCTTTGCTTTCATTTCAATCTATATCTATCTATTTCCTGTGCTCTTGTGCTGTTTTGAATCCATTTCAAGTGTTAGAACTTGGGTTTGAATAGCTACCAAAGGTAGAGAGGGTTGATAACCTTTCTTGCACCTTATTTCATAGCTCATCCCCTTTATTTTATCATTATTTTTCTTGGTTTACAAACTAATTTTTAGAGTTTAAAAGGGCTAAAAAAAACATGGTTTAGAAGTCTTAAAAGTGGAGGGGTTAGCCACCTCTTTTTTTCTTGCTTCCTAGTTTGGTATCTCCTTGTTATTACCTTTTTTTGTGCTCTTAACATAATTTTTAGCCACTATTTTTTCATGTTTTGGGGCTGTTTAGAGTTGATTTAATTTATTTAATTCGTTTGGGCTTTGAATACTTCGCTTACTGTGTTGTAAGTCCTCATGGCTTCGATTGTTTAAGCCTTAGACACCGAGTCATTCGAGTTGATAGCTTTCCTTTGCTTGGTTTTCATGTCAAGAGTCTCACTCTAATAATCAATCTCACATAATCATTTTTGCAACCTCTCTCTTTTCTTCTTTTTCTTTTGTTTGAAAGTTATTTCAAAAGATTGATGGTTATTCACGGCATAGAAAAAAGACATATGCTCAATGGCTTAACCTCTACGAAGGTTCATCGTCAAGGTGCAATCTCTCTTTCATGCCAAGAATCGCTTCTCATTTGACGTTTTTTCTCATTTAGTGGACTTAACTATCACTTTGGACAAATTGACTAAAGAATGGAAATGATTAATAAAATGGGCTTAAAATCCATGAAACCAACATAAAGAAAAGGAATTAGAATAGTTGGATTCGGCCAGGCATTATGCCGAGTGTAGACACCCCATTTTTGACCTCCTTTAAGACTTGGGGGCCTCTGATTGTTTACTTGGTGATGAAAGTTGTGCAGCACAAATGTTCGATTTCTTTGGCAAAAAGGAGCTTCAAATCCCAACCTTATACCCCTTTTTGGACCAAAACCATTTTGACCAAAAGATTTTAGATCTTAAAACCCTCTCTTTCAAAATAGTTTTTGAAAGAGTTCCTACGATGTTCTGACGCTCGCATTTTGTTAAATGTTGTGCTTTTCAGTAAACCGAGCAAGGACAAAGTGTAAATGAATGAAAGAGAGGTGAACTCTTTGAAAAATCTTTCAAAACACCTTATTTAGGGGTTTGGATTTGAAGAAAATTGGAAAGGAAGGAAGAAAACTAGTTTGGGAGAAGTTCAGCATGAATCCGGGTAGGATCGAAACTAAGTAGTCTTCACTAAAATGAGCATAACCCTTTAAATACTTAGAATTTTGTTGTTAGGCTGATACCATTGGAAAGAAGACTTCCAGGGTTTCAATTTAGGCTCAAGAATGACCAGAAAAGGAGTCTAGATGAAGGAGATATTCCCATTTGAAGTTGGCCCCAAAAAGCAGATTTTTCTGGCCAACCAGAGAAGGAGGTTTTTGGCCATGAATGGGCTTTGCTGGCCATGTGCCGTCCAAGAGTGACCCTTGCCATCCAGAAATGGACATATGCCGGCCATCAATGATGGCTTGCCGGCCATTGATGGAAAAAGTCAATTTTTTACAGATATTTGTGTTCCAGCTATTCCAACTGTCCATTTTGAGATATTTTCGATTTGAGCTTGCATTCTTCTATATATAGAGAGCCTTCTCTATGGTTTTGAGGGTTATAACAATTTAGGAGTGAAATATTTTGGGAAGTCTCTCTCTCTCTACATTTCTCTCTCTCTTGAGATTTTGTGCTTAGAAGCTTGCATACGTCAAACTTTAGCCTATGAACCATTAGCCAAAGTGGTTCATCTTTTGGCTGAAGTTGCTTAAAGCTATCTTGGAGCTCCTTATGTGGCTTTTGGCTTGAATTGGTGCCAAGAATCATTCT